GCAGGGATATGACAGGGGTGGTGGCTCCAGTGAGGCCAGGAAGAGCTCCAGTGACTTGGGAAAATTCAACTGCCAACTTTCTGGAGTGGGACCCTTTTTCGGTGGGAGGAAACCTCTCCACATGGAATGGGACTGGCTTTTTTGGCTCTGAAGGGCTTGGTTTGCCTCAGGGGGTGCAAAATCCTGACCAGCAGGCTTGTGAGTGAGAGAGGGGCAAGAGCACAGCTAGAAGGGAGATTGGAGGGGTTTGAATGGCCTGTTGGGGTTCTACAAAGCATTAATTACCTGCTTTGGGCTTCATGGGCTTGCAGGTGGTGTTCTTCTACCTCTCCTGACACTCAGTCTTCTTGCAATTCCCGAGGTGAACAACACCAACTAGAAAGCAAGGGTAAGAGAGGCCTGGAAGGAAGAGCACCCAGTACAGGTGCCTTCAGCTCACAGATGGTGGCTGCAGCCATTTTCTTCCAGTCCCCAAGGGACTACGTTCAAATTCCACTCATGAGAAAAGTGTGGAATTCCACCCCCCACCCAGGGTTCAGGCTGAAATTCCACACCTAAGTGCCAGGTCATCTCTTTTCCCTGGCCTGCTTCAGATGGGCCTTGCTGTGCTCATGAGCAAGGTTTCGGGTGTTATGGGGAAGTGAGTTGCAGTACAAGGCCTCAGGCAGGGAAAGGAGGGGTGTGAAGGCCCCTGTGAGGCCTGGGAGAGCTCTACTGCGTCATGCTATTTGAAATACTGCCTTTGTGGAGCTGGACCCTTTTGTGGGGGAGAAAAACCTCACCACAAGGAATGGGACTGGCTTTTGTGGCTCTGAAGGGCTTGGTTTAGCTCAAGGGGTGAAAAATCCTGAGGAGCATGGTTGAGGGTGGGGAGAGGGGCAATGGCACATCTGAGAGAGAGATTAGAGGGTTTTGTGGGGCCTCTTGGGGCTCTGCAAATCATTAATTACCTGCTTTCAGCTTCAGCAGCTCGCCGATCTTGGTCTTTTAGCTATGCTAAATGCCTCCCTTCTCTGAATCCCTGCTGTCAACAACAGCAACTAGAAATCAAGATAGACCCCTGAAATGAAGGGCCCCTAGTACAGGTGCCTTCAGATCAGACATGGTGCCTGCAGCCGTTTTGTTTCAGACCCCAAGGGACCATGTGCAAATTCCAAGCTTGAGAAGAGTACAGAATTTCCCCCTGCCCCCTAAAAATTGGGCCTGCATCAGATGAGTCTTGGTGTGCTCAAGGGATGAATGTCCCTCAGGAGCAGGTCTGGGGGTGTCATGGAAAAGTGAGATGTATTACGAGGCCTCGGACAAGGACAGGAGGGGTGTGAAGGGCTGTGTGAGGCCTGGAAGAGCTCTGGAAAGTTGTGAAATTTTAACTTCCACCTTTCTGGAGTGGGACCCTTTTGGCGGACAGGAAACCACACCACAAGCATTGGGACTGGCTTTTGTGGCTTGCAACAGCTTGGTTTGGCTCAGGGGGTGAAAAATCCTAAGCAGCAGGGTTGGGCGGGGGGACAGGGGCAATGGCACATCTGAGGGAGAGATTACAGGGGTTTGGAGGGCCTCTTACAACTCTGCAGATCATTAATTACCCTCTTTTGGCTTCAGGGGCTACGAGATCTTGATCTTTTACCTTTGTTGACAGCCTCCTTTCTCCAAATTCCCACTGTGAAAAACAGCAACTAGAAAGCAAGGAGAACAGACGCCTGGAATGAAGAGCCCCCAGTACAGGTGCCTCGAGCTGAGAGATGGTGCCTCAAGCCATTTTGTTTCAGACCCCAACGGACAATGTTCAAAGTCCACGCTTGAGAAGAGTGTGGAATTTCCACCCCCCCCAGCGTTCAAGGTTGCAATTATACACCTAAAAAGTGGGCACTTTCCCACTTTCCCACTTACTTAGGGACCCGGCAGGTGTCATAGCCCAACCATGGGCAAAAATATTCAAAAATTCTTGGTGCTCAGGTGAAGTACCTGAAGATTGGGAAAAGGCCAATGTGGTGCTCATCTTTAAGAAAGGGAGGAAAGTAGATCCGGGGAACTACAGGCCAATCAGCTTGACCTTAATCCCCCGTAAGATTCTGGAAATAATTATCAAAGAGACAATTCTTGATAAGCTGGTTGATGGCAACATCCTGAGGGACAGCCAGCATGGGTTTGTTGCAGGTAGGTCTTGCCTGACCAAGCTCACCTCCTTCTATGACCAGGTGACATATCACCTGGATGAGGGAAAAGAGATTGACTTTTAAAAAGCCTTTGATTTGGTGTCCCATAATCTCCTTATAGAAAAATTGGCCAACTGTAGCCTCGGCTACATCACAGTTCGATGGCTGGGGAATTGGCTGTGAGGCTGGACCAAGAGAGTAGTAGTTGATGGAAACGAATCATTATGGTGCTCTGTGAACAGGGTGTCCCCTAAGGCTCCAACTGGTTCTCTTTAATGTCTTTATTGATGATGTGGACACTGGTGTCAGAAGTGGACTGGCCAATTTCGCCGATGACACTAAACTTTGGGGTAGAGCATCCACACCTGAGGCTAGACTGGTGATCCAGGCTGACTTGGATAGGCTTAGAAAGTGGGATGATGTGCAATACTGAAAAATGCAAGGTACTTCACCTCAGGGGGGGAAACAAACCCACAGCATGCTTATATGCTTGGCAGTGCTACGCTCGCCAGCACAACGGCCAAAAGAGACTTGGGTGTTATGATTGACCACAAGATGAACATGAGCCACCAATGCAATGTCGCAGCTGGTAAAGCAAACAAAACCCTTGGCTTGCATATCCATAGATGCTTCTCAAGTAAATCTCAGGATGTCGTGTTCTTGCTGTACCCAGCCTTGGTGAAGCTGCAGCTGGAGTACTGCATCCCATCCTGGGCTCCACAACTCCAGAAGGATGTGGAGAAGATTGAGAGAGTCCAGAGGAGAGCCACGCACATGATCAGAGGGCAAGAGAATAGGCCTTATGAAGAGAGGCTGAGAGCCATGGGACTCTTCGGCCTGGAACAGCACAGGCCCAGGGGTGACCTGGTGGCAGCCTCTAAGTACGTAAGGGGTATGCATCTGGGGATCTGGGGGAACATCTGTTCACCAGAGCTCCCCAATGGATGAGAAGGACCAACGGTCACAAAGTCCTCCAAGACCATTGTAGGCTGGACATAAGGAAAAACTTCTTTACTGTCCGAGCCCCCAAGGCCTGGAATAGACTCCCACCAGAGGTGGTGCAGGCACCTATTCTAGAGAGAAGGGAAGAGAGGCAGGGTTGGCTGGATGACCTGACCTCAGAACTATGCTAGAGTCCAGGAGCAACAGAGTCTCACCTTCCATCCAGGGGACTTACAGGCAACCTCCTGAGACATAATTCCATTGAGGCATGGCAGGAGAGTGAAAGGGAGAAAATCCCAGAGGATGGGGGTTCAGTCTGCCACTAGGGGCTGCACTTGAGCCCCTATTAGGTTGGGCCTGCGATTTCCTTTCAGATAAATTTCCGGTACTCCTCTTTAAACAAACTGTCATATGCAGCATGTAAAAAGGATTTTTCTTTAAATCAGATATAAAAAATGAACCTGTAACTTCTCTTAAAACTAATATTATTAAAGCAATTACAGCTGGAGTCTTATAGCAAGGAATCTGGAGTTTGAATCTCTTCTTTTCCTGGTGTAGCTTGTAAAGTCATATCATGAGAGCTAATGTATGTGTGAGAAACATGGAAAAAGTCCCAGAGTATCTTATGATCAAGTATTTATAGTGAGCTATTAATGGACATGAACTCTGCTGAGATCACTTTTCAATACATAAAAATACCACCTTCAACCTAAGATTCACTTGTTTGAAATGTGAAGTCTTTGGTGTTCTTTCAAAAGCAAAAAAAGGTGAGGAAAACAATACATTTTTTGTGAATTTTTGTTAATTTTTTAATGCACTGTTTACCAAAAATATAATTATAGCTTTAAAATGTGTGTATATACTTGTGGTCTTTTGGTCAGTTTAATGAACTACTTATAAGGCAAATGCTTCCTTTTTTGCAGGTTTTAGTAATTTATCTCTCTGCTACATATAGATTAAGTGCAGAGACATCTTGGGATTGTAGGTATGTATACAGTGGAGGGAATATATTGTCCAACCTTAATATGTATCCTTGCTGCTCAGCCTTAATATGTTTTAGGATTATTCCAACTAATGCGAAAATCCTGTTAACATCTTTCATTTTGCCTAGCCTAGAGGTAAATGAGAATTAGTCCTGAAGTTCTTACTTAGCTTGACTCTCACCTGGAAGGCAATATTGGGAGTTTTGTCTGTGTGAAAATGGGTGGTAGGATTTGACAGTAACAAATGCCAGATCTGCATTGTCACCCAAACCATGCTGCAGGAGCATTAGTCGTCATTGCAGTCACTGTATTTGTATTTATTTATCCACTTTACCTTGAAAGCTGTGCTAAAGCTGATTGCTAATTGCAATTATTTCTCCTTTTTGGCTTCCTTTTAAAATGTATATTGATCTGTTTGATGATGATAATTAATGTCCATGAATCATTCAATCAAAACCAAATGCCACATTTAAAAAAGATAGTATTAGCAATTTTACTTTTTAATCTTCATTATTTTATGATCGTTGATAAAAGATTGAAAATAATTGTCTTTACATAACTTAACCCTTTCCATTTGGCAAACTTTGATGTTAAGTGTCATTTCCTTATATCGCTAATGTAGGCCATATTAATATGATGCCTTTCTGTTTATTCCAATAAACATTTATTCCACCAGTGTTGATGTCAATGTACTCCTGATGTACCAGATATTTGGAGCTTGAAAAATGTTTAGAGAAATACAGACACATACTGATGACAAAGACACACTTAGTGTTGTTCAGAGCAGCTTTAATCTTGTTCTCCAAATGGATCCTTAAGATGCACATTAGAAAATAACTGTTTGACTGTACAGTATTTAAATACTGGCCAGGGTATTGTTTCTGCATTTTTATTTATGCTTATTATTTCTTTCAGTACCTTTGCATCTGCTATTGTTGCCAGAAATCCAGAATTAATCTGATGATTTAAAAACTGCCTTCTAATAGAAGAGACTTGCTTTCCTTCACTGTTTGTGGTCCAAGTTGTGCAGATTTGACATGTATAATTCTACATATACACATGATGATGACTCTGATGATGAGCTTGCTACTCAGTATGTTATCCAGCAAAGCTTGCAGGATATCCATAAAAGTGAGACAGTTACAGATCCAGCAGAGACTGATAGGTAATCATGCATTGTTAACTATATTCTGGTAATGTAAGCAGTATCTTTGTGTTGCAGTGTATGTAATAGTCTAGATGTGGGAGTTTTGTTACAGATAACGCTGTTCTCTAATGTTTACTATTCTCATCTTCTGGTTTAACATTGCTGAGAAGTACATTTTAGTTACCCTTCCCATTAAATATACATACTGTACATTTGGGTGAGATGTCTGACATTTTCCCACTGAAATAAGAAACCAAGTGAATCTCACTTACCTTTGGGGTTTGTTGAAAATTTACATCACTATGGTAACTAAGACTCCTAAGTTTTTTCAGGTGACATTTTGCATCAAACTCCAAAGCAAATGAAAGGTCTAGGTAGAAAATATGTATGATGCAGAAGAGATTAGAACAGCAGTTTGCCTTTGTTTTGCCTTGATGTTTTAATATTAAAACCAAGTATTTTGTGCACAAACTAAGAAATCTTAGTTCAGTAATATGTGGGTGGCAGTGGGGGGGGAGTTGTTGTTTTATGTAGACTGGATGGTAAAGGATGGCATTTAATGTTTATAGTCCTTTAAAAATGTTAAACATGCTAAGAATTATTGCTTGTATTTGTATAAACTCTAACAAAGCAAAACTCCTGTGTTGTGTGCAGCTGTAGCATATAGTACAAAATTTTCTTCTGTATTTAAATGAAGATCTAATAATAGTTTGGACTTATCCTTTTTATTGGCTCTGCTATGTATGAGAGAACCGTTTATGAGAGAATATGAAATAGAATATGAATTCCCTGTGAAAGTGAATGCGGTTCATTGATTAGTCACAATAGGTAACTAGTGCTAAATGGGAAGATAACAGAAAATAAGTAAAACAAACAAGTAAATGTTTGAATATCTACTTTAACAGACCAGAACGACTCTGATCTGCTAAACAAGTCGCAGATAATTGCAGCATTTACTTTTTTATCTTTGCTTTATTAATTTGCTTAACTGATCTGAATGATAACTATTTTGTTTTGTTTATGCAGCTTTCGATATGTTACAAGCAAAGAACATGGGAAGATAATCACAGCTATTCGGACAGTTAAGTACAAACACAGAAATCATGCCTCCTCTATTTTCATTCGATTTGTGTGAGAAGTTGAGTTAGGGCTAGATCTGAAAAGAGACTTGGGCATTTCATCACCTAATTTTTAGGTGCCAAACTGTCTGGTAAAATCCACAGCCCAAGTTGGGTGTCCAGGCTCCCTGCACCGTGTTTGGGGAGAGTTAAGTGTCTCAGAATGGAATCCATAAGAGCCAGCATGCTGAGTGGGAAGCTAAGGTAGCCAAAGCAAAATGTGCTGGGACTCTAGGTGTTTAATTCAGGGTGGAAAGAGCCATTTTCTGCCACTCAGAATTCATAGCTCTGAACTGTGTCCTAGATTTAGATGTCTCCTCACAGAAGAGGAGGAAGAGGCGAAAAAAGTGAAGGACCAATAGAATCTCTTTTTGGCCCAAAGAATCTTGAATTCTTTGCTGCATGTTGCAACAACTTCCAGGGCAGGTGGAGAGTTCCCTTTCAGCTTTGCCAATAGCTTGGTGGCTAGGGCACTCTTCTGGAAGGCAGAAAATGTGGGTGTGAAATCCTGAATCCCATCCTGCTAAAGATCCCATGTTCCTGGTGAGATCCAGAACTGAAGACCTGACTGTGAGGCCGTTAAAGACAGCACTTGTAGCACAAGCTGGGATAGTGAAAGTAGCTCTAGCGTCCTGGTCAGATTCTGGATTTTTTTTTCTTGCCAAAGTGAAAGTGCTTTGTGGTGTTAACCTTCTCTCATGTTCTACTTCAGAGGGGGCAGTATTTCAGATGTTTCTTTTTTTCGCATGCATTATAAGCATATAACTCTGGTTAGATAGTTTGTGGAAGGAAGATGAGTCTAATCGGTACCATTAGTGATGCATTACTTTCAACTATTCTTTGATAGAAAGCTGTTCTGAGAAGCTGAAGCCTGTTCTAGGGGGACTAATGGGATTAATGGTCCTCAAAATACTCCTTGGTGTCACTGGATCTTAGACTCCAATGCTTTCTGCTTAATAATATGGATATGAATCAATACTTCATAGGCCAAGAAGAAGTCTTGCAGAAGTTAATGAGGCACCATTCTGCTTTTAAGGAAGCAGATCACCAAGGCTGGCTTCCTCTGCATGAAGCTGCAGCACAGTTAAACAAGAACATCCTAGAAATAACTCTGAAAGGTAAACAGCCATCCGTGTTCCCTGTGTGAAGAGTTTTGACGATTGGTTCTTTTTCAAACACGCAGTTCTCATGTGCATCTTTCAGCCTCGCACCCTGTTGTGTGGGAGCAAACCAATCTGAAAGGAGAAACTCCTCTCTTTGTGGCAGTAGAAAAATGCTTTGTAGACAATGTCAATTTTTTCCTGGTTAATGGCTGCAACCCCAATGTTAAGAATGAAGAAGGAGACTCTTCTCTAGTTATAGGTAAATCTTAACTTTTCTTGTTGCGTAAATTATAGTTGATGTTTTATTGAGTGATTTCTATTTAACATCTTTTAATGTTGGCTGAAAAAATATATTTAAAAATCCTGTATATTAAAGCTTAATCTAGTTGCATTGACTTTGAAAAAGACAAAGGAACACAGTCTGTTTTTTCATCTCAGTGACAATGGTGCTTTAGCAGGGTCCTCAGTTCACCTTAAGTCTAATGCCCACTATGTTTGGAAACACGAGTTAAACTCCGAACTGTATGGTTAAACAGGTTTAACCTCAAGTACATCTGACTGTAATGAATATGAGCCATATATAAAGCTAATTGGGGGTCGTGAATCTTCTCAAATAAGATAAGCAGTTCTGTGAATCTTTCCTTAAGAAGCCAGCCTTTTTTCCTAAGAGCAGATATTTTTTCAGCATTTCTGCACTTTTGGAATTTGGCCAAGAGTAGCAGGCAGAATGTCACAATATTATTAGACAGTCTGTTTTGGAGAGACACCCATTAGAGGTCAAAATGGTTCTAAAAGTAACCAAGTACTTTCTCAGCCACAAAAAAAAATCCTATAGGTCTTGAGTTTAACCACATCATTTCTTGGAATGATAAATGATGGATATTTCCTTCCTGCCATTAAATGGAGACAGAAAGCACAGACAGAAGTGACAGTTTTCACCCAGTCTGGCCCCTGAAAGTGCTCTAGAACTGTGACCAAACACAAGTGCACCCCCCACAAGTGCTGGGCTGCTCAAGCCTGCTGAGGGCTCCCTCTAGGGCCTATGGCCCCTGGCTCCTGTCAGCTTTGACAGGCTGGCAGGAGCAAATAAATATTCATTTGTTAAAAATTTTTTAGGGGCCCCGTGGGCAAGATACAATGGCTTGGTGGGCTGGATCTGGCTTGGCGGGTCAAATCCAGCCCGCGGGCCGTATTTTGCCCACCCCGATTTAGTAGCAGGGAAGGACTTCACTACTGCAGAAGAACGTGGAGAGAGAAAATATGCAATGAACAATTTCTGCCAAATAAGTTGTTTTATGAATTACATAGGCAATAACATTTCTTATTCAGGAACTGAAAAACAGGCTGGGTGCTAATTTAAACCTCTCAGTGCTGCATGACATTTCTTGATATATAAATAACACTGCAGAGACTAAAGCAGACTAGAAGCAATAGTGTATAGTGTTGTCTGGGGGTTCCTGGGTGCCCTGTTCGGGCACAGCAAGCAGTGCCTGGGAGGCACGGCTGTTTGGCGCCGGTGTGGCGCTGCGTGTGGGGTATTAAGCCCCAGCCTGTGAGGGCGGTACTTGCCCACTAGGGCATAGGACCCTGAGAAGGGTCAGGGGGCCAGGCACGGCTACGGGCCACCTGAGCCCTGGGCGCGAGAAGCGCGGGACAGGCCCAGAGAGGGCGACGAGAAGCGCGGGACAGGCCCAGAGAGGGCGATGAGTGCGAGGCGCACGGCTTACAGTCCAGAGTAGGGCCGAGCGCACGGTGAGAAGCCTGAAGAGGACAGAGTGTGCGGTTGAGAAGCCCGGAGAAGGGCGAGGGGGTGAATAGAAGCCTGGGAAGGGCGAGTATTCCAGAAAGGCCCCAGAGAGGGAGCGAACATATTGGGCACGCATACTGAGGGACCCCAGAGAGGGGGTGCGCGGATTGAGGCAAGCCCAGGGAGGGGCGAGCATGTAGGCATAAGAACATCTGGTACAACTGCGAGGCTTGGGGCGTGCTACAGGGGAGGTAGGAGGCACACGTAGCCCCTAAGGGCGGGGTGCACCAGTTCAGAGTAGGGCCAGTACGAGAGCGCCGTGCCCAAGGGGACAGAAGGCAGCCTCCCACTGATAATCATAAGATCAAAGATGTGGCGGGCGAGACAGAGGGTGCATTTAGGACCCAGATTGTGGCACGGTAGGGGCGCCAGGGGGATCACGGCTGCCCCGGCGCCCCGCCCCGTGACATGTTGAATAATATTTAAATAGTTAATGCTTCACTTGCAGCGATTAAACATGACTCGTATGAAATCGCCTCCCTGCTGATCACGTTTGGAGCAAATGTAAATTTACAGTGCGTCAATAAGAGGACAGCGTTACATGAGGCAGCCAGACTGGGCAGGAAGGACTTGGTTAACCTTCTGCTTTGTTCTGGAGCTGATCCTGATCCCTGCAGTGCTTATGGGCTCACTCCCCTCGCTCTGGCAGCACAGATTGGGCATACAGAAATAATGGAAATCTTACTGAAAAAAGGTGAGAATTATTATAGGATCTTTACAGTTCAACGTTCTGCTTTAGGAACTTCTGGTTGCCAGAAATAACCTAAAATGCTAACCCCTGTTAGCTCAAGGACTGAAATTATAGTTAAGTGCACTGAAAGAGATATTCCTGATTTCAAAATTTGAGAGAGCTTATCTTCCTTCCAGTCACGGGAAATCAAAAGGGCATGACTTGCCTGCAGAGGCAAAGAACTGTTAGCTCACTTACCAATACAATATTGCATTGCCAAGAGTAATGGTTTGACTGGCATATAGTACTACCTACATAGCACATTATGGTCAGATATCAGTATATATATTAGTTTTCTGTGAACTGCTTTGACAGTGAATTATAGTCTAGCATTCATATTCAGCTTGAAGAGTTTACTTCATAGGGTATACGGTATCAACTTTATTTGTACTTGATACTCAGGATTATTGCATAATCTATTCAATTTCAATACCATTTACGCTATCCATGCTATAGAAATTAAACCCCCTCCCTGGCCAGTTCACTTTGACCTAGTGCCGGGGTTGGCCATGCCCCTGCTACTGGAGCAGCCAGCGGAGACGTGCAGGTCCGCACTGGTGGGACAGGGAAGGGAGGGAGCGGGGACTAAACTGCTTCCCTGCCCCCTTTCTGGGCTAGCATCTGGCCAGGCCCCCGCCCCTGCCAGTCCCTGCTCCAACTAGGGAGCAGAGGGGTGGGGCCAGCCCTGCTGGGCTGAAGCTGCGAGCACAGCCCAGAGAGCATCCCGGGATGCTGAGGCAGCCAGGTGGTGGGAGACGGGGGAGAGCCAGGGCCTTAGCCCCATGTGGCTCAGCTATCGGGGAGCACAGTCATGGCTCTTCTCGCCTCCTGCCACCGTGTGGTGCACCGATCAGCTCTGCCAGCCCCGTGGACCTCAGCCCAGTGGTGGAAGGTGGGCAGAGCCGAGGCCTCCTGCCACTGCACTAAGTTCCACAGGGCTGGGAGCCGAGCCCGGTGGCGGGAGGCACTTCCCCCCACTGGGCTCAGTTCCCAGTGGCTCGCAGCCCTGGGAACTGAGCCTGGCTGGGGGAAGCGCATCCCACTGCCGGGCTCAGTTCCCAGTGGCTTGCAGCGGTGGGGAACTCAGCCGGGCTGGGGGAGGCACCTCCCCCAGCTGGGCTGAGTTCTCCAGTGCTGAAAGGGCCTGGGAACTCAGCCCGGCTGGAGAAGACACTTCCCCCAGCCAAGCTTGGTTCCCTAGCACAGGGTCCTAGGCAGCAGGAGCAGCAACCTGTGATCTGACAGGCAGATTCGGGGCCTGCCTGCACCCCCAGGAGGGCTGCAGGGGCTCCGCCAGACTCCTCCCCAAGTTTCTCCCCAGTGCCTCGAGTTTTTCTCCTCAAATCTGGGTTTGACGCCAATTTCATGTTGGGTCAGAGAATTTTCAAGGGCTATGATGACCAGCAGAAATCAGCTCTATATTTTGCTGTCTCAAATCTGTTCAGCGCAATCTGCCTCCTGGGTCACAGGACACTGCTCCTGCTCCCTGGCTCCTACTTGTCAGCAGCTTGAGGCGCAGTTTCCTAAAAACCCTTGCACCTTGAAACTCAGCAGGCTTCATGGCCTCAGAAGGGCCATCCCTCCAAGTTTAATCAGAATCAGGCAAGAAATGACAAACTTATAGGCTGTTTCGTGCTTCCCCATTATAGCCTAGGGGCAAAACCTCGACACAGCAAAACCATTTCAAGGAAACAGAATGGAACAGTGATTTCGAAATGAAACAAAACTCGAAATGAAACAGTGGTGTCAAAACATCAAAATAGAA